CTTGAGTGTCTGAAAATGTTGAATACCCCAAATTAATTTTACCAGTTCTGCCTAAATTCCCATGAGAACTTGCTTCAGCAAGGTACAGATCATTTGTGTTGGAAATTATATGCACACACACAGACAAAGCGCCCCACTAAGCATCTATAGAGAGATGCCTCTGGAGCTTGGATATGAAAGCAAAGAGCCAGACCACTGCGAGTGGTGACTTCCTGGTGAGAGTCTGCTTTCAGCCCTTCTTGCTGATTAGATGCTATCCCAGGTGATGGGGTTTTATATTGATGTCATTGTTTAAATCCAGTTGGCAACAAAGTACCACACAGGTTGAGATAAGACCCTGCAGGCTGCAATAAGAACAGTTTAATAACTAAAATATACTACAATATACTACTACTACTAATACTAATGATAAGGGAAATAACAAGAGGAGAGAACATTAAACTAAATGGGAAAAGGAAAACCAACAGTAAACACACGTGATATACAATACAATTGCTCACCACCTGCTGACCTATACTCAGCCTGATCCGAGCAGTGATTGGTCCCTTCCGAGTAACTCCCCTCAGTTTATATACTGGGCATGACGTGCTGTGGTATGGAATACCCCTGTGGCTGGTTTGGTTTAGGTGTCCTGTCTCTGCTTCCTCTGGGCTTTTTGTGCTCCTCCTCACTGGCAGAGCATGAAGAGGCTGAACAGTCCTTGATCAGGTTAAGCATTCCTGAACAACAGCTAAATCATCAGTGTGTTATCAGCATTGTTCTCAGACTAAAGCTAAAACACAGCACTGCACCAACTACTAGGAAAAAAATTAACTCTATCCCAACCCGAACCAGGACAATTAATCATTGTGAGGATCCTAGTTTAACTCCAGGAATGCCATATGTGTCTTAAGAGCTAAATTTTGCATTCTAAGCAAGGTGCGCACAACCTGAAATGTAATTGCCACAGGACCCAATTTCCATTGATAAAGTAGCTCACGGAAGCTTGGTCTCACAAGCCATGCTTTAGCAAAAGGAGTCTGTAGTACCAGCCTTTTCAAAATCTTAGCTCTTCACTTAGTCCTCTGAGTTTTCAAACCATCTGGCAAAATCAGTAGTGAACATACACCAGCAATTTTTTTGCTCTAGTTGATTTAGCTCACTGCTATAAAGATATTAAATCTCTTTCACAATCAACCTCTCTTCACTGACAAATATTTTTCAGCAATAAGTCATTCATTCTTACACTTCCAAACTCCTCTTAGACATGTTATATTGGCTGGATCGGACTTTTTCCTTATATTTCAGTCCTGAGCTTTGAGATCAATAAATGTTTCCAGTGATCACAAGACATCTTTTTTTTTTTTATTTTTAACAGAAATTTATTTGCAATGTGTAATGTGAGATGTAGAATACAAGTGGGAACCAAATAATCATGTATTATTTTATAGTGTATTTTTCAGTAGGTTATTCCAAATGTTACACATGGAAATTTTAAGTGCTATAACATTAGTTCTGATATCATGGTGACTAAGCATTTCAATAAGGAGTCTTGTGGAAAAATCCATGTACATAGTTTGCTTTAGTTCGTTTGTCCTAAACTACAGACTGCAACAGTACTGTTTAGATCATATAAGTTGGTAATAAACAGTTCTGTCTATATTTGCATCTTGTCTATTTACTAAGTCATTGAGAAACTCAGTTACACACAGGCTGATTTGAGATGCAAAAGAAATTGTGTATAGTGTTTTCATCTCTTACTATGGAAATAAAGGTTCACAGTGTAGATTCTTCCATATTTTAGTTAGATTAAAAATACTGGATGGTGTATTATATCCTGAATGTGTTACACAGATTGCAGGTAAAATGTTGCAGAGCACAGCAGCAACTGCTCTGCCACCAAGCATTAGAAAGGTAGAAATTTGAAGGCTTTCTAAGCAGACACTCTGACAATTATTAATAATCAGAAACAAAACACATATTGACAAGCTCATATGCAAATACACGTGACAAGCCAAAGCAGTACATGAGATGAGTCTCGCTCCTGCTTCCACTGGATGAATGAAAGACACAGCTCCCAACTACTTCAACAGAAGGGTTATGATGACAACTCAAATGCTGCAGGATTAATTTTTTCTTTTCCTTTTGTTTTCTTTTTTTTTTTTTTCCTGAGAATACTTAGAATTTGGCTGATGAACTCTCAGAGTTCACACAACCTGAAAGGTATTTGTATACCTCAGCGTAACCATCTTTTGCTTCCATCCTTTCTTTTCTGAAATCCAGTGACAAAATATTTTGAATGTGTTTGTTAAAGTACAAATATAGCATTGGAAACGATCATGCCATTATAGAGTTGTACAAGACTTTTCCAATGATTTTTCAGTACCCCAGAATGCTGACATGTGTGGCAGACTTCTTTGATATCCATCCACCATCACAAACAAAAGATATTTACCATTTCCCACCCCAACCAAGAACACTAAGTTATGTTATGAGGTGCAATTTAGAGCTGAACATCTTTAGAACACCCAAGCAGCAATAAAATACATATATTAAAATCATATTAAAGCAAAAGACTGCCAATACATAAAAAGGTCATGCTAGTCTGTTTTTTAACCAAATACGACTATTGTACAGTGACGATACCACTGCAAAACAACTTAGAGAAGCACATATCCTTGCAGGTCAAAGTTAAATGAAGACCTAAGTGATACTGAAGGGTGATGTTCCCTTACATGAACAGTGATCTGTTGCAGTGGGGCAACATCATCTGTGATGATGGCCACTCTAAGAATTTACTTTAGGGCGGGTCATAAAATTCAAGTTGAACACATCTCCTTCCAGAATAAAGTATCTTGCTGAAAGACTCTGATTTTGGAAAAAATACACACTGAAGTGCATTAGAGAAGACAGTTCCCTTCCTCCCCCCCCCCAATCTCATTGTCATTTCCACTGCACTCAATGAAAAACTCCTCCATGAGTCTCATTCTGTGGGAGCAGGAGCAGACCTACCGTATTTTGCTTTCCTACTAACATTTAATGGCATGGCAACATCCCTCACTGTCTAGTGGTCTCTATTTTAGCATCCCTTCTTTTCCCTAATCTTTTCAGAAGCCGCCGTATCTTATCCCTGATACTCTCCGAGTGAGGAGTTCTCCTGGGACTGGTTCTGATTGTTTGCCACACTTCATTAATACAAAGTGTTTCAAGGAAAGTTATCCTCCTAACTGAGGTGGCTGATGCTATGTTCCTGTTATGCTCGCCTCAGCAGCAGAATCAGTCTGGTGAGGAAAATGTGCATCAAGCCATTTGTGTAAAGGACCCTTAAGCATAAAACAAATCACAGCTTCTTATTTAAATAACACAGTACCATGCAAAATTCACAAATTAAGAACTTCTAATGAGTAACTTTACAAAAATGCAAACCTTTGCTTAAAAATCCACCAGTGGTATCTTCATTGCTCCTTATTTCACCTGTTTAAGCCATACAAAAGGTTTAATCTGTGCTCCCTTAATAATTACAATATTTGAAGGGAAAAAAAAAAGGGGGTGGGGGGGGAAGAGCGTGCACCAAATGAGTATGGCAGGACATGCTGGGACCATACAGTACTGCAAGCTGGGACAGTAGAATTGCCCTTGGATCACAGTGCACAGATTTGAGGGTAGCAGTGGTTTATTATCTCATTAGAAACATCTAATTCCCTGTAATAAAGATTGCATGCAGAGCATGTCAAAGAACAGACAAGGCTATTACAGCCCACAGTCAGGAATAATGCTTTTCTCCCCTCTTATTGCTAAATAGGTAGGAGTAGCTTTTCAATTTAAAACCAAAAAATATATAATTACAGTAATAATACCATGCTCTTGACTGCTCTGCAGCTGCATATTGTAAAACTCAAAGCCACTGATCAGAAACAAAAGCAGTAAATCAGTAACAGCTTTACAGAAATGTTCTGCTGGGGTGATTATGTCTGTCAAAATACTTCTGTAAGGGAAGGACTGTTTACTGAACGTATTTCATGTCCCTTTTCCCCTAAAAACACTTGCAAATGCACGTATCTTTTCCTAACAACAGATACAGAAACCTTTGCCAGAGGTGTAATTAAGACTATATGAACACTGGAACAAGCAGGAATCCCATTCAAATAGTTAGGCATCAGTTACAACAAAAAAGCAGTCTTATTTTTATCATCTGTTATAAAAAAAATATTTCCCAATCAGTGTTTCAATACAGTTAAAAGTTCAAACCCCTCTACATTACTAATAAATTAACAACAACCTGTATCTTGTAAGAAAACATTTTGTAAGAAAATAGGTAAGTAATTTAAACCTTTAGTTTACATAAATTAGCACAGAAATATGTATTTGAACAAGTGCACTGAAAACAGATATGCCCTCTTTTCTTCTTGTATCTCTTATTTGAGTTATTAAGTAACAGGAAAGCCTTTATATTCTTTGCATGACCTTGATAGTCTACTAACATGAAATGGTCAATAGTCAAACCCCAGGAGAATGTTTTGCCAGATAGACAATGACAAGAAGGGGCATGAGGTACAGTCAAATGCTTTGCAGCCTTATTACAGTAGACTTCAACATTCAATTTCCGTGAATTTACTCTCAATGGGATGAAGGGAATATATTAATACTGCAAATCACATGAGTGAAATTTGATGGGTTGATAGATTTATTTTTTTTTTAAACCTATTAGGGTATCATTTTTTCAGAGGTAGTTTGCAAGGCAATAGTGATGCGCATGAGTGGAAACAATACTCCTTTGCTTGACTGTGGATGAAACTCTTAAGTACTGTTGCTGCTGTCCCTGAACCTCACAGAGAATGCTTAATGGATGCGATGTTCTAATCGGAGCTGACAACAGCCAATTAAGTGTCAGAAGAACAATCTGATAAGTAGGTCTTCATGTCTATAGGCATTTCCTGGTATGTCTTAACTGTCAATCTGAATGTTAAACATCTCTATCTTTGTCTCATTATTGACTGATTTATTAAAGAAGAATACTTCCATTTCTTCTTCTTCTTCTTTTTTTTTTTTTTTTTTTACTTTTTGGTTGCTCCAGAAAGAAGGAAAGAGAAATACTAGGAACAAGTCCTAATTTGGAATAATTGATGGGGAATCCTAATTATACAAAGTCCTAATCTTGCAACTGAGCAGGAGTATGGTTTGGTGACACCATTACCATTCAGCTGCCCACACCATACCTTTTAAGGAATGGTAGATGCTCAGTCTAGAGGAGATCTGTTTCTTTAATAGGTGGAAGGATATCTGTGGACGTGCTAGGAGGCTGCTCTCTGTTTTCAGTGCTTCTTGCTAGTCATACAGAAGACAACACCTCGCTGGATGCATCTCTTCCCTTCTTGTCCTCACCCCTGTCAATATCAATCACATGAACTATGCCAGGCTTCAGGATCAGGTCATCGGTCTCTACATGGCTCCTGTTATCATCCACCTCGATGTACTTCCCTTTGGATGGCTGGGTGGCCTTACTGAAGACATCTTTAAAACGGCGCTTGAGTTCAACATCTGGGCAATAGACGTACTCATAAAGAGCACCAGCAAGGACTGCTCCTATTATTGGTCCCACCCAATATACCTGCAAAAAGTGGAAGAAAAAAGACAAGCATTAGGCTCTAGAGCAAATAAGGAAGCCATGATCTCAAGAGAAAAGCATGTCACTACAGACTTCACCCAGAAAATTTTCTGCAAAATGCCTGGCTCAAATGTTAAAACCAATTTTCCAGAATTGCATGGTCACATAGTCCCCTGGCTTTCATGAACCAGGGGACTATCTGCCATCATAACAGTTTGTGAGGCAGAGAAGTTTAACTAACATAGGTATCACAGATGGTGACCTGGAGCTCAGCAATTAAGTGATTGCTGTAAAATCACATATGAAGTTGGTCAAAAGGCAGTCTCTTAGGCAGCTAATGGCATTAGTCCCGGGTAATTATTTTTTTCTGCTTCATCCCAGTCTCTCTCTCTCATTTCACCCCCTTTAGAAATACTCCTTACTCAGTTTAAATCCAGTCATGTAAAATACCTCACATCCCTGGGTCTGGCTCTTCCCTGAAAAACCTTCTCATGCCAGAGTTTAGGGAATCACCAGGCAGTGGAGCCCACAGATAAGAGAAGAGGGACCTATGCTGACATGTCAGTGAGGTACAGTTCCTACTTCTCTGATGTCTGAAAAAGATTTCAGTCTACATATCTGGTTACCAAAGTTACGGTGCAGACTGGCTGAGTGGCAGTGGAACTACGATCGCCTCCCATGGATAGACACATAGGCATCCTTTCAGGCTGCCCTACCTTCTCCTGTTAACAGAAAGTAGCTTTTATCCCCTCTTTAAACTTTGTCCAGTAAAGCAAAAGTACAGGTCCTTCATTATCATTATTTGGATCAATGATAGCTGTAACATTTCTCAAGATAAAGAAAGGCCACAGATCCTGGTGGGATCGTGTGTGCTTGTCAAATAAAGCTCTGTATTCACATACAACATATAGTTGCTCTGACATAGCTTTCCTTTTAAACTAACAGGGTAAGACGATTGAGAAGCAGGCCCACAGCTTCAAAGATAAATAGTTTTGTCAAGTTTCATTGATCCATCCTTTTCTAAGAGGCCTCCTCTAAATTTTTGTCACTCATTGACAGCTGTAGACAGCATGAATGGACTGTTTGCAAGATCACACGCAAAATAAACACCAATGTAGAAAAGTGATTTTCTTTCTGCATTTTCACTCAAGGTGGCAATGAACTTCAAAGGAAACAAAACCTTTCCTAGTGTATACACAGATCTAGTTCAGTATTTTGGAAATTATTATATTTCCTAAATAATCCAAAGTTGGCTTCTGATCCTACAGAATCCAACAGGCAGTCAGAGACCTGACTAGCTAATCGGAATAGGCCAATACAACTGACACGCACAACTTTGTAGGGTACCTATCTATTTCAGCATGACATGCAGCAGTTTGGTAACATTAGTAGGTGCAGAAGATTCTGTCAATGGCATGCTAATGTCAGTGCCCTGGAGGAGGGGAAAAGGCCGTCTTTCCAAGTGGCCAGGACAGTAGATAAGCTTCTCCTACAAGTTTCTCCATGGTACATTTTTTTATTGTTTATAGCTTTACTTATAAATTACAGGCTCCTTCAGAGTATGGATAATTAATCTTGTGAAAAACTACAGCAGTGTTTCATATGAACAAGCCATTCACTGATAACTGGGGAAATCTGCCTCAATAGGATAACTCTTGGGAACAAAGTTACACATGGTATCGTGTTTGCAGAATTGGAGCCTTAGGGCCTGAAGACAATACTATTTCTGTTATTAGCTGCAGTGGGAGCAATGTGGGCTTCATACTTTAAAAATCAAGGAAATCCATATATGCACTGTAATATGCACCTCTTACAGTTAGTATTGAAAGTGTTCCTAGAAGTGCTTTCCCTGTGTATAATTAGGTGAGGCTGAGCTGCAATCCATCTCTCCCTTATAAAATGTGAATATATGAATTGGATTTTAATAAGTTTAATAGTGGGATGCTACAGAAAATGACTGCATCATTTAGAATCAGTTTATCAAATCGTTTCCTCCACAAATACTCCTAGTTAAGCTGATGCTTTCAAATTGAAGCAGGTAGCATCTGGTCTGGTCTGCAAAGACCAGACTGCAACCCCTTCATCTCTGACTGCAAGCATTTGCTGAGACAGCTTGTCCCCTGGGAAGCAGATCGCAGAGGGTCCCTGCTCTCATTTTATACGTCTGCCCCAATTTGCTGCAGAACCAGGTGAAACGTGAAGCCGACAGATCTGCTTCCATAACTTCTCACCAGTGTGACCAGGGGGTTGCAATCTGCCTCAGAGGATTTTTCTCTCTAATAGTTCAATTCTTTCAGTCTCTCCCTGGGTTGTGTTTTTTTCTGTTTTCAACTTTTTATATGATTTCCTTTCTACCCCAGCTACTGCCTCCATAAAATGGCCTCTGAACAGCAAGATGCTGTTCCAATGTGCTGTATACTGCATTGCAGTCCTAGCAGAGGAGTATAATTACACCTAAGCTTGTGGCAGGTCAGCACCTGTCTTCCTCAGGGACGGTCTCTGTGGGGTGTACTGGGATAGGTAACTAAGAGCAAATGACGTATGGAAAATCCTGGTATCTGTCACTATAGTGAAGGAATCATGAAAGCTGAGTTACCCATTGGTTTTCCCATTTCCCCATGATGACAGCAGGACCAAACGATCGGGCAGGGTTCATACTGGCACCGGTGTAATTGATCTAAAGCAGAGACAAAATGTTACCTGTTATAAAGTCATGAAGGCAGTTATTTAATTTCTGTTAGTCCTTGTACTATGGGAAACTGGTTTATTTGGCTTCTCATCTTGACAGTGATTATTGTCACTCTCATTAGTCTTATCACAAAATTAACAAAGTCATTATGTAAACAAGCAGAAAAGTTCTGATGCAAAACCCTACCCAAGGAGACCCCCATGTTACTTCAAAGGGTTTTGGTGTGGATCCATAAAGAATATAGCAGCTATATAGCTATAGCATCTACAAAGGCCACAGAAGTTTGCATTTACTTCTGAAGTAGTTATAAAGAGAAAATAGTTCTTTTTTTTTTAAAGAGAAGCCGTTAACTTACAGCAAATAAATGTCCAATTGCAACAGAAAATCCAATTGCTAAAGCTACTGAACCAGTGACATCACTTCGTTTTGAATCACAGCTGGCAAAAATAGTAAAAACCAGCTGGAATGTAATTATCAACTCCACCAGGAGTCCATGGCCAGCGGAAAGATCTCCATGTACCTGGAAGAAGGGAAAGAAACACCCGAAATGAAGAAAAGGTGATATTGTAAATCAAAAAGCCACTACGTACATTAAATGTATTTCAATTAAAGATATTTCTAATGGTACACAGTGGAAGACACCACTGAACTTTTAAAGGTACAGGTCATCCCATCCCTTTCCCATGCCCCCTTTATACCTTTTTTTTTTAATTGTTGTAATTTTTTTTTTATTTTGTGAGCCATGGAAAATTACTGCTGGACTGAGAACAGAAGGCTTCACAGTAACATCCAAAAAGAACTTCAAAGTTAAGACTGCAGAAGTATAGTTTATTTTTACACAGGGATTTGCAAATGCTGCACTTCCCCTTCACCATTTTTTTTTCTTGGGAGCACTGTAATTTACTATTCAATTATAAATTCATTAATTAGCCCTGACTTAATTAATTTAAATTTCAATTAAAAATTAAGCAGTGTGTGGCTCAAGTGCATTTTTAATAAGTCCTGCAACAGGGCTAACTGTTGGCATTCCTTATTAGTTTAGAACAAAGCCGAAATCTAAGCCACAATCTATTTCAAAAGTATGCCATTTTAAATTGATGTTTTTTCAATCTCCATCATAACGGCATAGAATCCATTCCCCCCTCCCCAGCCCATAAAAAAAGGCATTTCACGCATATATTATTTAAATTTTGTATGTAAATTAACATTACCTGCTGTCATCAGATTTGGGGAAGTTCTAGGAAAGAGAACGTCTATAAAAAGAACAGCTATAGATATTACGCTGCATAAACCCATCCTAAGAAGAGATTTAAGCCCTCTCTAGATGTTGTAAATAAACCAGCAAGCTCTCAAAATCTCTACTTGAGCTCTCCTTATTCTGCATGACACTGATTGCATTTTCTTAGGCTCTAAGCTAGTCTACTTTACGAGTCAGAGGAGAAGTGATTACCGCAGTGACTCCCAGGCCTCCTACCACGCTTGGTGGTGTGATGAGGTAAAGGATGCCTGCGCCTACGATGGCCCCCAGGCATTGGGCAAGAATGTAGAAGATGGACTTGGCGAGGCTGATCTTCCTAGTGCAGACCATTGCCACTGTCACAGCAGGGTTAATGTGGCCTCCGCTGATGTGTCCAAAGCACTGCACCATGGTTGCAATGCTGAGTCCAAAGCAGAGGGAGATAAGGACCATGTCTACAGGCAGGGGCTTCTCTGCTCCACCCCAGTTGATTGTGGAACCGAGGCTGAGGAGGACAAAAATGAGCATGGCCAAAAACTCCGCTGAAACTGCTTTCCAGAATGGCTGAGTCCAGACTCCCTTAAATGCCACCATGATGCTCTCACACTTACAGAGATGACCACACTTACTGAAAAGGAAAACAAAGCTTCATTAGGAGTCACCAAATAAGCCTTAGGTTCTCCTGTTAAGGGCTGCTATTCAACAGACTTTGGAGAGAACATAGCAATGTTGAGCACCCTTAGGCTGGGACAACTACAGACTGCACTATTGGAGCAGTTTGCCTTTAGAATGTGACCACTGAGTGTCTGCAGCTTCAGTTCACAAAAAAGCAATCTCTGTATCTTTTGAAATAAATGAGTATGCAAATAAGTGTATTCTTCCACAATAGCTGACTTTTGCCTGACTTAGAGGCTGCACAGCCCTGCCACTTCCAGTGGCCTGTTAACCATCATGCTCATTAAATGAGTATGTGTTCCCTTTTTCTAAGCAAATCTGTACTATTCACAAAACAGATATGATAATTCAACAAAAAAGAGTATCTTAATCAAATCCTAATGATTTTGGTAACAATGTGGTGTTGGGAGGTTGTCCTGGGAGCTATAAGAGAAAGTCTATTTGTTTGAACACTCAGACCAGTATTTCAGTTTATATTTATGCAGAGCAGTTTCTTCACTGTGGATGTGGGGTAAAAATTGAATACAGCCAGGAGAATAGATGCAGTCCTAAATTCTGACCTTGAAATCAATCATGCAATCGATAAAGTGCTTCCCTTTGGGCTGAGGATGCCAAGCTGTGGAATAGAGCAGTATTTTATGTATGTGTGGTGTGTAGAACTCTATGTGGCAAAGAAAGAAGTGTCTTGATTTTTCCCTCAGCCTGGAGATGCTTTTTGTTAGTCTACACTGCCTTCCTGACAAGTTACAATATTGCTAGATGTTCAGATACCTACGAAAGTGGGTCACCAAAGAAAAGTTATTTGTGGTATTAATAAATTAGGAGAATAAGCCAAAAGGGAAGCATTTTAATGAGTTTCTGAGGAATGCTAACAAGATTCTTCTCTAAAAACAAAAGCAAAAAACCTCCAAACCCTCCAAAAAGTAGAAAACAAAGGAAAGAATATTCAGCTGTTACATTTGGGAACTGAATTTCAAATGGAAGATGGATGAATTTATGCTCAGTTATCTAAGGTAACTGAGCTAAAATGCATATTTAATGCCACTTAGATAAGAAAGAAGCATAAAAGGCATGTCTGCCCTTTTCAAGTTATTGCAAGAGGAATGGCCCATGAATTTCTTAACAGTTGCAGTGAGTTAGGGAAAGGCAATTTAATCCTGTGACTGAAGCAAATAATTTGTTTTTCTGTCTCATTTCTTATGCTAATTTACTGTGTATTTTGGATAGGTCATTTGAACTCTATCTTAGTTCTCTAGACTCTCAGATGAGAACAAGAATTACATTTTCTCCTACAAATGGCTGTTGTAAAGTGCTTGTGAAGTGACCTGAGAGACCTGAGAAGGACTTGCTTTCCTAGAGAAGAATTGAAACTAGAACCTCAAAAGACAATAAAATCATCCCCAAAATCTTTTGATTTTGGGTCAAAGTCAAGACAAACAGAAAGATGTTTCTGTAAGATCTCATATTAACAGTCAGTTAATGACCAACTATGTAGACTAGACTTTTTGCTCAAAATGACTCCAAAATCATTGCCTTCCCCAGTGCTGAAGCTCACAGGTATTTAGTCAGCCTTACCTTTGAATCCCACACCCAGATTCTGATTGAAACCTAAAGGCTTACCTCTCACACCCTTACTACTTCCTGACTAATAATTCGTTTTAGTGGCTTAAGACACAGGTGCTATATCCATTCTGACAAAAGCTCATTTTCCCAGGGCATATCCCAAGCGAACATTTTATATAGGAATGAAGCATATCCTGAAGCTCATGGAAAAGAAACATGAATGTACAAGAGAAACAGCACTCATTACCCTTTCAGCACCAGCTCAGTCGGGACACAACCTGGATTTACCTGAACATTCACTTGCTAAGCAAAACACAAGCTCTGGAGTTATACTGCAGAATTCTGCAAAGTTCCTAACCACCAAAGGCTCTATGGGGGTAATGCATGTTTTTGGAGCATGGAATAGAGGCACATGGTAACTCTTGACTTCTTTGAGTATGCCTGACCATCTCCTTCTGTACACAGAGAACGAGTGAGATCTGCAAATTACTTACATCCCTTCATCCTGTGGAAGTGGATATAAAGTGGGTTTTCTGTTTGATATTATAATTTGAGTTAGTTATGGAGCATCATGAAAGAACACATTAAGAGTGAGGGTGTGTGTGCACATGCACACACATGTAAAGAGTGGGACAGGGGACCCAGAAGATCACACCATCTGCTGAACTGCTCATGGGCCTGTCTAGCAGGAGGCTACCACTAACAAAGGGCAGATCTCACACTGTTTATCCAGCTGAGATGATGCCCAATGAATTCAGCCAATATTATTTATAGCCCTGAAAATGCAAAAGTGCTGCATGCAAACCAAAAGGATAACTCAAACACAGAATCTTGCTCACCAGCATAAAGAAAGTTTCTGTTCTTCTGAAACGGCATACTACAAGGAAACAAAATCAAAATGGCAGAGCTACACCCTCAGCCGTACTTTGACAGTTAATGATCTAAGCATCTATTTTTAATGCATATACACTTCTCTGAAGCAGTCTGTTTTTCTGCGATTTCAACACCCAGTAAAATGTACTGATGTCATGGCCAAATTTTTCTTTCTAACTGCACACCTTTCTTCCCCACAGCAACCTCCCTACAAATGTTAATAAAAGCTTCATAGTTGTGTTTGAGCCCTGAGTCCAGGTTTTCACTCACATCTAAAGGCTTTCAGCAATTCAGAAATCAACACCATTTCCAACACCCAATATTTTAGCAGGCAGTTAATTTAAAGGCTTGAGACAGAGAGAGTGTGATGGCTGTGCCAGGTCTGAAGCCAAAACGGGACTTTCCAGCAGCTAAGATTTGCAACTAAAGTTGCAAAATAATTTGTTTGCAGTAGTTCCTCATGATTGCCTTAAATACAACAGAGAACCAGAAAGACACTTTCATGTTATGGTCACACATTAATGTGGCCATACTTGAAATTCTCTGGTCTGGACTAAAAGATTACACAGTGTGTTTAATTGGATGCAAGGTGGTTTTTTAGACATCAGGTTACCATCAGGGCTGCAGGCATGATTATGGCCTCAAAGCCCTAACAATATAAGTAATAAAAAAGTCTTTAGCACAAAAGTCAGTATTCTAAAAAATCTTCTTTTTCTAACTGGTATCATTTCCAGGAGTGGAGCAAACGCAAACAGCCTGGATGTGGCTTGTAGCCAGCCACTCTACACGACACTACTGTCACACTGAAGGTTTGAGCATGCCGCAGCTATTTACAGTGGCATCTCCGCAGCAAACTCACATACTCCCCGACCTGTGCTGGCACAGCCGGCTATAGCTCAAATGGACATTAAGCACTAGCTTGCCAGCTTGGGGGGGGGGGGGCTACAGTTGCAAAATAAATACACTATCGCAGAACTTGCGTATAACCATTCTGCCTCATTTTCCAATACGATGTTGAATGGGTGACTGCCGTGGGTATCTACAGGAGGTGGGAAGGGGAGCTTTGGGAGCATGGTACCTCAGCTGTTTGGAGGTGCAGATGATGGGCTTTTTGTACACACGTCTGTCCGTTGCAAGACCGCAAGCACCGAATAAAACAGAGTTTTAGGGTGTGGAAAAAAGAGAGTGACTTACAACCCTCTGCCCCCCTTCATGAACGAAGGTCTCCAAGGACGACCGAAAGGCTCCGGCGGTTCCTTCGGAGAGGGGGAGCCCGGTACTCTGGGAGCCGCCCCTGGATGCAAAACGCAGGGGCAAAACTCCCGGCAGGGCGCTCCTCCAGAGACCGGACAGCGAAGGGGTCCCCACTGGCTCTGAGAAGGTCCCTCCTGCGCATCCCTCTCCCCCCTCCCGAAGCTTTCCCATAAAGTCATCTTCGGTTTGGGTGCCTGCCTCCCCACCTGGGTCCCCTCCCTCCTCCCCCCCTCGCCCCGCGGAGAGCCGCGCACTCACCCGCGGCGCGGAGCTGCAGCTCCGTCGCTCATGCCTCCCCGGCGGGCGCGGGTGCGCTGCTCGGGGCGCGGGGCGGGAGGGTGGCACGGCTCCCGACCATGCGGCCCTCCCCTACCTGCTGCTCCGGGCGGGCCAAGGCTGCCTTAGAAACTGCCGCCGCAGCCCCGACCGCGGGTCATCTGAGATCATGTGGATATGCAGATTGATTCAGGGGCTTAAAAGAAGCCCAAAGTGAGCCCACTGTGCTTCTGCAGCACGGGGAAGCATTCCTCGGTTTCTCATTTTTTTCTCTGCCAAGCCCTGTGTGTGAAGGAAAAAAAGGTATAAACAACTCTGCAGCCAGGGAGCTTTATCCATCTAAAATGCCTATTAGAACCTTACTAGAACTCTACTGGTTACAGAAGAGACAAAGTGGTTCTATTTGTTGGAAGCTGCTAAATTCAATAAAGTTTTGCCTAGTGAGGAAAGCTGCGGGAGGCTACTGAAGGGAAATGTTGAAATTAGACAGTGAGGAACTCAGATGGTCCCCACATTGAGAGAGGCTTTTTGTAAGAGCATATAGTGATAGGACAGGGAGTAATGACTTTAAACTGAAATAGGGTAGATTTAGATTAGATATTAGAAGTTCTTTAACTGTGAGGATGGCGAGGCACTGGCACAGGTTGCCCAGAGAAGCTGTGGCTGCCCCATCCCCAGCAGTGTTCAAGGCCAGGTTGGATGGTGCTTTGAGTAATCTGGTCTAGTGGAAGGTGTCCCTGACCATGGCAGGGGGCTTGGAACTGGATGAGCTTTAAGGTCCCTTCTAACCCAAACCATTCTATGGCTCTATGATTCCGTGATTCTACAGCACCAAAACAATCCAATGAAAAAAGAACCCTTCACATAAAAGGAAAAAAAAACAAAGTTGCCCAAGTTTCCAGGCACAATTATTTCATTAGAGAATGCATAGAAACGGTCACTCGAAGAAGACAGGGGTGAAAATGGAACAAAGTATTTAGATTCCCTCCCCCACTGGCTTAGGCCTCTGTATGCAGTAAAAGAATCTTTGCATAAGTTATACAAAAATATTGTAAGTGACATGTTCAAGTGTTAAATGAGGTTAAAATAGCACACACAGAGAAACTACATCTACTGCTGTGCATTCATGCAGCAACAGAGAAAGAATCAAAGTTTGTCATAATGGTCAGCCAGCCCGTCCAGGACAGACTGTAACATATAATCCTTCTGACCATTAGAAAACACTGCAAGATCCAAAGAACTACTTTGGCCATGGAAACCATGGACAGAAGGTCTTCCTCTGTTAGGGGACTGTAGGTAATAATTTACACCAGCGAAAAGCAAGTATAATGTATAACACTATCAGTTCAGGATGCCTTGGACAAATTTGTACACACAGCAATAAAAAAAGTCAAGCTCGTGTTAAATACTTACCAATCACAGTTTGTGTTAAATGCAGGTGATCATAAAGTACAAGTGTAGGTGTTTCTCTCATGTTTGCCTGCTCTTCCCCTAAAGCCATGTCATAAAGGACAAAATGTAAAATACTGACATTCACAGGAGGTTGACAACCTGCTACAGTGAATCAAGAAACTTTGACTCCTAACACTGTCTTAATGGCACATAAAACCATTGAATTCTTCATATACGCACAGACCAACTTCCATCAAGGCTGCAGGAGCAGTTCCTCACAATTCAAGGATTTCAGTTAGGATGTTCTTCTGCGTAATATTTTTTAACCCATTCCTTTTTTCCCTTCTGCTACTACTGTACAAAAAGCTCATTTTCAGTGCTTTGTTTTAAACACCTGTGGCTTCCCTTGATGTGGCTTGAATGTGCCACATCTTTTTCCACCTGCATTTTGCAATGTCATTATCTGATAATTTCAGCCTTTTATGCCACAGCTACCTCTGCCATACAAATCCTTTCCTCTGTTTTTCTAAAGACTACAAAAGGCGCCTACATAAACTCAAATTTCTTTCCAGTTTTGGAGCTGGCTGTTTCAAATCAGCGCTGAGTTTGCTTTCGTAGTTTTGCCCTGACAACATGCTTATTCTTTGGTACTTTGTGGACTCTGCTCCTGCAGCTCAATTGTTTGTTCACAAATAAAATTCACTTAGCAAAGCTAATAATTGCTTTTCCTTTTCTTGCAGATAGCATATATCTGCTCTTTTTGGTCCGTAGAGCAGATCACTGCCACATGGAGAAGCAAGAACATTAATAGCTTCTGTCACTGCTACCATTCTTATTGTGATAGATCTTCTGGAGGATTAGACAAAGGTTGTGGCCACATAAACAGAGAAAGGCAATGCTTCGGGCACAAACCTGCAGCAAACTGCACTGTGCCAGCTCTGATCAAACAAACAGACTATGTTCTGTTGAAAACAGAGAAGGCAAGGAAGACAGCCCCTGAGATGGCACTGAAAGCCAGAGGAAAGCTGCCCCAGTTTGTCCAGGGATAAATTTGTCAATTTTGGGATTTGGAAATATACAAGGTTGTTAGTTTTTAATTATATGTTTTCATCGTTATAAAACCTGGGTTGACACATGTTGGACTTCAGTGCAAGGGTGAAATATTTCTTCTGCTGCTGCGCTCAACACAGTTAAGCAAATAACTTACAAAAGAATATATATGAAAAATTTAAAACTGGTTTTAAAGCACAGTCATGGTGGGGAAGGGCAGACAGCATGGGTATGTGCAGTGGAGTCTCCCTGTGCCTCTGCTTCTTCACTGAATATTAAATCTGGGTTTCTACAGTAGTTTTTAGGACATTATGAATTAAAGATCTTTGTAGGAACACAAGCCATGGTAAGAAGATGCTGCAACACGTAAGACACATCCTCATCCTGAACAAGGACTTCCCAGACAGTTGAAGCGTGTTGAATCTGGGAATTCAGTTTGGTTTGTTATGGAGGAGAGGGCATGCTGCCAAAGTCAGAGAGGAATGTGCAAGCAGCTAATTCCAGTTAAAACAATATGAGGGCAAGAGGCAGAAAAACTCCCTGCACTAGATTCTGTCACCTCACTGAATAACGGTGTGGGAAGAGTCCCTTCACTTCTATGGCGAGTATCTTGGATATTCACCCTGGGCAACTCTGTCAGACTGAGGGGTTTATCAGACAGGACTGAAACAGAGAAAAGAAAGATCAGAATCAAAACAAAACAAAAAAAAAACAAAAAAACCAAAAGACTTAATTTAGAAGCACTGTGTGTTTTTCCAGTGCCTCCTCTTCCACTTGTACCCAGCAGATCTGGACTGTTCTCCCTTATGCTACTGTTGCTAAGCTTCTTATCTTTGGCTTCTCTCAGCACCACTTCAGGCTTTCATTTCCAAAACCAATGAGGCTTCCATGCATGCGTTTGCCCTCTTCCTCCCTCTTTCTCTGGGTGTTCCTGCCCTTTCTTTCCACCAGGTCTTGAACCCGTCAACCAGCTTCAGCTACAGCTGATGGAGGATCAGAAATCCCAAAGGTGTTTAGGGCTCCTGCTAGCCCGAGGAGAGTGAGTGGCTGCAGGCAACCACAGCAAAAGGGACGCCTGCTGCTGCTGGCAGGAGAGGCTCCAGGAGGATTTTCAGAAGTGCCTCAGTGATGGAGGGACTTAGTTGCTGTTTTCAGAGTACTGCAGACTCCTAGGAGACTAAATTCCTTTGACCTTCCTTGGCTGCTGTCGACAAGAGCGGGCTGTAAGCCTTTCAGAAACTGTTGACGCTTGCAGAAATACTCAGACTTTTTCTGACTGATTGAAAGTTTCATTCTGTTGCCACTAATAAATCCCCCTCCCCACACCAATTTATGTTTTATAAGTTTGGGTTAAGCTTTGTCTACTAAAAGGATCTTACATAAAACACCGCTTACTGAAATGTGATCTTTGCACATTTCTGAAGTTATAATTTTCCTACACTGTAATCTTGTTACTTAGGTCATTCATTTTGTCACGCCCTGCTATCAGCCTGGTCCAGGTTTGGCTGCAGGGCTATGTTCTCCTGACATTTAGAGCAAGAATTCCCTGGGAAATCAGTCAAGAGATTTGACATTGCTGCTGGCGAAGCTCCAGCGGGTTTAGCTTTACTCTCCTTCCCTATTTATTGTGGAATCTGTCTGTCCACAAGCTGCACATTGAGTTCTGTGCTAGAGAAGGAGAACTGAAAGGGACAAAATGGCCATTCATGTGGCGATTCATTGAGGCTTTTCAGAAAGGTTTTACAAGAAGCTGTGATGACTGCTGAGCTTCCTTAGCCCTCTATTACCTCCCTTATGAGACAATTTGGATTGACTGCTTTCTTTTTGCTTTCTCCCCCCATCTCAATAGGCAGCAATTATTGTTGGAAAAGCCACATTAAGACCTCGGTAGTGTAGGAACCACCTGGGGGCTTTTCATCTTTAGAAACAGTTTAATTTTACCATGGCATGGACAGGCCCTTTGCTGGGAATACGGGAGAAAAAAAAAAGTCTTTTTTTTTTTCTCCCCTCCTTCCACAAACTGCTCCAACTCGTCTTGCAAAAAGCAGCATCAGTGGCAGAGACAGCCAGAATTTGATGTACTGGAGGGGTGGATCAGCAAAGCAGCCCTGAGCACTCTTGAGGGCTACAGGAGAGTTGGTGGAAGAATCTCAAATCAATTGGAAATGAGGGAGAGAAGTAGCTCTCTTGTGGAAGGGGACAATGAAATGCAGCAGCACAGGGCAGAGTGCAGAAGGCTTTGCATGTGCAGGGAGGGGCAAGCAGCACAACATGGTGGTGGTCTGTGTCTCTGTGCAGCCTTAGCCAGTGGGGCCAAATAAATTTGTCTTTGCTAGGTGAGACACTGAAATCTGGTTAAGTGCTCATGGATTTTATCAGCCACATACCATGTAGTAGTCCAAATAAATATACCACTGATGTACACTCTTTAGCATCTGACCATGCTTTCTTGACCAATCTGAGTTACAGTCCCTCTGCTGCTTCTAAGATCCTCAGTGCCAAATGCTCAGCCTCTTCCCTCACTGCTGTTTCAGTTTCCTACAGAAACAAAGCTCAAAGAATCAGGGAGTTTAAGACTAGATGGCAACATAGCATTTTCTAGTTAACTTCATATATTATAGACCACTACACTTTACCTCATGACACATTTCATGAGTTCAATAATTTATACTTCGTTAAATATATTTTGCAAAAAGCATTCTTGCTTGATTTGAAAACTCATGGGATAGACAATCCATCCATTCCCTTGGTAGCTTATTCCCAAGACTAATAATTTTCATCATCAGAAATGATCTTTGCCTTTAAACTGAATTTGTATGAATTCATCTGCCA